TCCTTCACAGATGCTGCCAGACCTGCTGAGCTTTTCCAGCAACTTTGTTTAACAGCATCCGCAGTTCTTTCGGTTTTTACTTAGCACAGGAATAGGCTATTTGATCCAACTCATCCATGCTGACCAGATTTTCTAAGCTAAACTAATCCCATTTGCCTGCATTTGGCCTATATTCTTCTAAACCTTTCGTGTCCATGTACCTGTCCAAATATCTTTTAAATATTGTAATTGTACCACTTCTTCTAGAAGCTGTTCACCCTCTGTGTGAGGAAGCTGCCCACTCAGATCCCTTTTAAATCTTTCCCCTCTCACCTTAAAACTATGCCCTCTAGTTTTGAACTCCCCTACCCTGGGGAAAAGACCTTGGCTATTCACCTTATCTATGACTCTACATGATGTATTAGGCTCTTATTTCCAGGCTTTTAATTGAATTTAAATTTCACCATCTGCTGTGGTCAGATTTGAATCCAGGTCCCTGGGTCTCCAGATTAATAGCCAAATGATAATGCCACTGGGCAATCACCTTCCCTACTGTAGTCCCTCTGTAATGCACTGGAAGTGATGCTCCAATCCTTGTTTTAGGCACAAAGTCTTGATGAAGGTTCCACTGAGCCATAACCTGTCACTGAGAGAATGTGGAGGATTTGAAAGTATTCTTTTAGTGAAAGGGTTGCATTTGTAGTTGTATTGGTTTATCTGCTAGAGGACATGACTTGCATTTGTTCTAAATGCATTCAGGTAAAATATTCTACCTCCTTCACTTATAGTTTTTTAAATTCTATTTCACTGAGAACAATATCCTGTCCATCATTTATAGTCAAACCATTGTTGGGTTTGTACACCATTTTATCATGATTTATATTTTACTTTTATCACTGGGAGGTCCCAAACTCGTTAAAAGAAATCGCTAAGTCCTTTCAAACTCTGTCTTCCTCATGAAAGTTCCTGCTTCTTGGGTTTAACTTGATCTTCAGTTGACACACAAACCACTTGAGTGCCTTGGTCACAGTCTTCATCAAAAATGACACACATCTGCAGATCTTGTAATCTCTGCTTGTACGGTATTGATCCACCAATGAAATCTTCAAGTAGCAGAGACAGCTGAAGCAACTATATCTAAATTTATTTTCAGCTTCTGGATCTAGCCTCTGTCTCCTTTAGCCGCGTGCTCTGCAGCACTGGACTCACAATCGTCTGCTGGATGCTGACAGCTCGGTGTGTCCCTTTATATAGTTTAAAATGGAAGCTTCCAGTTTCAGTTTTCATTCCAGTTTCCTTTGCAGCTGGAAGGTTCGGTTTCCTCTCCTGTTTCCCTTTTCAGTCTTCCTTTTCATTTGAGGTTCTGTCTCAAGCTTTGAAAGAGTAGATTCCGTGATAAGCTTTAAAAATCTTATATTGACTTTTGCTCATTATCAGGAAAATATTTATCGTAGGGACCACGCAGGACTGGCTGTAGAATGTGTACAAGTTGCCCGATGCAGTGTGTAATCCTGGCAAAAACAACTAATTTGAAAGAATGTAAAGAGAAAATATTTGGTTGACAGGAATGAAAACAGTGGAGAGCCAGAGAATGACCTTCCTTCTCTTCCTGTTCAGTAACGTGTACTGCTCAAAACAGTTGATGCCAACATGTTAACTTATATCATGGTAACTTACTTCACGGACTTTTTAAGTGGGGCAGTAATCAGCTGATGGCAGACACAAACCCTTTTGAGCTGAACTTCCAGTTGTCCCTTGCTCTCTTTCGAAGAATATTGACTTTTGACCCCGCTGTCATACATTGTGCCCTCTGACCTTTGGAGGCAAACCCTGCATACAATCAGAGCCAGGCAGACTCAGTGGAAAATGTTTTGTTGTCTTGGTTCCTCTTTAGCCTGTGCCCCACTCCACAGCACACATCTAAAGAACAATACCACCTTCATTGGTAAGACGCTCATTCTGTACCCACACACGCAAATATGATTTTATGTGTGTGTCTCTCTGTAATTATATTTTCCTCCCTCTCTTCCTTGCCACACCATTGTGGTGGTTCTTTTGTGTGTGGGAAGAACATAATAAGTTTGGTAACAAAGCCTGCAGTGTTTTCAGATTGTTGTTTTCCTTGTTTACAAGCCTGGGGTACCTTGCTCTGCTGTAAGAGAAAATGATGCCTATTAGTTAGCGTTCAAATGTTAACAATGCTTCAAAAATCTAAAAATATGATTGCTACAGATCATCACTAAGGAGTCTAAGCTTTTATTGTTCTTGCCCTGAGTCAGAAACATATTGGTTTAATTCCTCCTCCAGAGATTTAAGCACATAAACCTGTTCTGACTCCCCTAGCGCAGTACAATGGGATGGAGGATTTCCTTAAGAATTTGTATTTAAGAATCTGTACCTAGGTACCTTGGTACCCATGATGACGCCATAAGTGGCAACTTATAAACATTTCACTGTTAAAGCAATTCTAATTCTAAACCCATCCCCGCCAAAGGATCTCCCTGGTATTACATCAGAGAAAAGTGGGCATTCTCCCTTGCCCTTACTTCTCTCAAAGTCTCATAAATCTGTCGAATTTACTCCCCCAGAATGCGGTGGATGCTGAGACACCGAATAAATTAAAGGAGTGGATGGACAGATTTTTAATTAGTAACAAGGTTATGGTGAGCAGGCAGGGAAGTGGAGTTGAGCCTGAGATGAGATCAGCCCTGATCGTATTGAATAGCAGAGCAGGCTGGAGGGGCTGAATGGCCTACTTCTGCTCCATGTTCTTGCATTCTACCCTGGTGCTTCCTGGCTGACATTGATTGCTCAAAGTCACTTCACCTGACGATGGAGCAGCGCTCCGAAACCTTGTGATTTCAAATAAACCGATTGGACTATCAGAGAGGCTCCTATGATGCTGCTTGGCCTGCTGTGTTCATCCAGCCCTGCACCTTGTTGTCTCGGATTCTCCAGCATCTGCAGTTCCTACTATCTCGGACTGTAACCTAGTGTTGGGTGACTTCTGACTTTGTCCACCCCCAGCCCAACATTCTCCATTTTATTGCTCTAGCATCATATTTTTTTAAGATTGCATGTGTGTGGTGACATTGTACACTTTTCATTGTACTCCTGCACTTTTATATTTGAGTACTCGTGACAATAAAACCTAATTCTAATTCCAATTCTAATTCAGTGATCTGGTCATTAATCTCGTTGCTGTTTGTAGGATCATGCTGTTCACAAGTTGACTGCCACATTTCCCTACATTTTACCACTGTTCAGGGTGTCGCTTGGCTGTTAACCATTTTAAAATGCCCTGAGGTTGAAGGAGGAACTATCTAAATGCAGTTTTCAGCTTGTAACCAGTTACCTGTGTCAAGGATTACTTTGAGCCTGTGCTCAGGATTAACCTGGTCCTCTCTGTAAAATCAACATTTCGAGGAGGCTGCTTTGATGTTCATAAAAGCTATGGTTGCAAACCAGTTTTAAGGTCTCTGTTTCATTAATGAAGCTTTGAAACTGATAATTGTCAAGTGTGGAATGTTCTGGAAGCTGGAGGCTGTGTTTAATTAATGGAGACATTAAAGATGAGTATGAAAGCACAAAAAACTGCTTTGAACTGCAGTGTAGGTAAGGAAAGGGTGTGGAAAGAATATAGTTCCTTTTAATTTATGAAACAAAACCCTTGGGATATATGTCTGCTGATGATCTCACATAACCTGCCAATTTCTAAAGCTCACATACCTTGTATTAAAAAGCATCTTTGGAAATGACCCGTTTGATTAATTTGTGAACACTCAGGCGTTGAACATACTATCTTATTCTATCTCTTAGTAGACT